ATAGTCTATGACCCAAGGGCTATAGACCTTGGTTTAACTCATGTAAGTCTAACCAGTACAGACCCAAATACCAATATCTTGCAAATACTGACAGCAAGAATTATACAGTGGCATTTAAAACAAATAAATGCAAATAAATTGATGTTCACAAAATGTTGTATAACATTTATTGAGTCGTGTCAAGGTGCTGTAGGAGAGTGCACTAGCACCGTGTCCTCAGAGAGATTAGTTATTATTTATCAGCGTGAGGAACTTATTTCTACCTTATTTATAAACTATTTATTTACAGGCCCATCAGTGAATGTAATAATTGTCCCAACCACAGCTGCACCCCCCAACCCGGTCTCAGCAATCAGGGGCAAGCTGCACGTGTGTTTAGTGCGCCGCACGCGCACATTTAGCCGTTTTTAGTGGCTCAGGAGTCCGCAGGTACGTTGTGTGTGTCACTCACTCTGGTTACTCCAACAGGGAGCCGGCTCTCGGAGCCGTTTCTTTAGCGACTGACACATCACTACATCATTCCCTTTCCTAATGTCCTGAAGAACGGTCCGGAGCGCAGGCGGAGTGTTTAGCTAACCTGCAGGAAATGTCGACGACAGTTATCCAGAAAGTAGCTAAGGGTTACCAGAGATGTTTCTGAGGTGTTCGCTAGGTACTTTTAAGTTAAAAAGTCAAGAAGGGGGTCTGAAAAGCTGCTAGAAATAGCGTCAAAGTCACTAAGTTGGCAACACTGTGGGAGGAGCGCTTCATTTGCAACTCAGGGCAGCGCAAGTGGGAGGAGCAAGTAATCATCTCGTTTTGTTTTTAATAATCGTTCAAAACTCAGATCGTAATCGTGATTAAAATTCGATTAATTGAGCAGCCCTAATGGAAGGGAAGGCTTGCATTCACCTACATAAAAACACTATAATCTATGTGAATTCACTTACGTTGTTTTATGCTAAACTAAGAAACCCACCTGCTGCCAGGTCATATCGGGCTGGTTATAAAATGTTTTAACTCTGGGGAATCTTAACCAGACACTGTTTACTGAGTGGTGGAATATTCCTTTAAGTTAAAATGTACGTGTGGAAACCACCGTTTACAAGGAAAAACTGGAATGTTAGATTTATGCTGTGACTGAGTTTGTGTGTTCTGTTGTTTTTGAGATCTGCTAAATAAATCTTATTTGCATTACTTGGAAACCCGAGTGAGTTATGGAGACAGTTCTTTGGTGTGTAATAGAGAAATAAGTTTGCATCAAAAAGGCAGAGAATGAAGGATTTAAGCTTAAGAACATTTTATTTCTTTTTTTTTTTTGTGAGGGAGATTTATCGGCCATTATATCGGCTATCGGCCTTTGTTAAAGGTTTTATATCGGTATCGGTCCCAAAAAAAGCATATCGGTCGGGCCCTAGAATAAACCCGACCACATTTATTCACACAAAGCAACACCTTACCAAAACAAACGTCCAACCAGTGTTTCACAACAGGGTGCTAAATCTACATCTATCCAGGAAATGCACCAAAATCCGGTTCGAGCCAAAGCAGAAACAGAACTCGAGGAGTTTGTTGAGTTCTGGTGACATATGAAAGAGCTGGAGCAGGCTGTTGGCCATGGCCACATAACAGAGCTTCCTTTATTGTTTGTGCAGCACAGACACAAATAATCAATTAGACATGAAACGTATCCGTGATGCAACATGATTCGACGTGCTTGGTGTTATTTACTGTTGGAACTGGACATGCAGCTTGTTCTGGTCCGGTTACGCGATAGCCGTTGCCACAAGAACGGCTTCAAGTATTTGTCTGTTCTCTGAAATTCCTCTGTAAGCCACAAACCACAGACAGACTCAAAGCTGGACAAAAGACAATTTTCTAAAATAAATAAATAAATAAAACAACCTCATCCTAATGACTTCATCTGTGCTTTCCCTAACAGGGATTAGTAAGCTTAAATCCTCCCATAAATCCAGACAGCCATAAAAACAAAGGCTTGACAGCATGATGAGGAGAAAGGCTGTCTCTCAAAACAGGAGCAGGCACCACGTGATCCCCGTCTGCTGGCTGGTTGGATTTAAAGCAACAGGACTTGGTCGGGGAAGCCTGTCGTAGGCTAGCCACCCAGTCAGCTGGCATTCCCCAGCCCAGGTTCTGCTGATCCTCGTCACAAGCGAGGGACGCGGGATTGGTTGGGAATTAGCCCGCCACATGGTCTGCCACGCTTCTTGGGAATAATAATGAGATGTGAATTACCGTGTAACATTTTCAAAAAGTCCAATCTTAAGACCTTTAACAGAGCTCCTTCTATTTTTCTCCAAGCTATGATTAGTCAGCACCACAGCATCAAAGAACTATGAGAACAAGTGGGAAGTTCACATGATCAGCCAGCACTGGCTGCACTGTCACGAGTTGTGCAACAAAAATATGGAAAACAGCCACTAGCTTAATTAATCTGCATGTGCAAATAAGGTTTCCAATAAAAATGCCTGCTACAAATCAAAAATTTGACTCGTAACTCTAGCAGGGCGTCTCCAAACGGCTAAACCAGAGGGAACCGTGAACAGCTCAGCACGGATAACAACTGGATACAGCCCGTGGGCATGTCACAGGAAGCCGTTACTCCTCCAAACCTGACAGGTGTCTTATTGTTCAGCAGAGCATAAACTGCACACATAACTTTATTTCCAAAGACATCTCTGGCTCAGTTACCCAATGTCTGGTTAGAATTGCAACAAGTGCTGCAAGAAGGAGCTTATTCCTTCCTTAGGACCTTCTCTGCACCCTGTTGTCAAGCAAAGACTGAAACACTAACAACTGCTCATTCCTTTTCTCCTTTAAGACAGGGCATCAAGTTTAAATGATATAAAAATGAGTTATAAATTATGTAAAACAAAAAAAATGAGCCTTAGTTTCAGACTACGTTATATTTGTGTACAACAGGAAGGATGAGCAGATTCGTTGGCTTGTTTTTGCTTTGGTGCACATTTTTCACTTCACTACACACGTCTTCATGCTCATTGGGGTTAACAGTCAGCTGAAAGAGTTCCTTCCTGATGCGCAAACGTGTGGTGGCTGGAGTTTAGCCAAGCATTTCTAGTGTCAAAGGGAAAAAAGTTCAATGTTCCAGCAGGCTATGAACAAGCTTAAGCAATAACAAAACATTACTCGGTTCTGCCCGACAGAAACCTGATCTTTCCCAGGCATAAAACCATGTGGAAGAGAATTATATCTTATTGATCTTAACACTGCAAGAGCTGTTCAGAGTGCAAAGCCAAAAGAAAAAAAAATCCATAAAAAGGTATAAAAACTCACATTCCAACTTTTGTTGTGTCTATGCCTGAGAAAAAAAATGAGGATAAGGCCAAATTGCTTCCCATTATTGGGAATTTTGTTAGTGTGCAGGCTACACTTCCTGCAGGAAGACAGAAAGGGATATAGAGCTGGGAGACAAACAATATTTGACTCAGTCCCCCAGGGGAGTACACAGTACAGTGAGTTTGAGTTGAATGGGCCACAGGAGCTGCCAGCAGTAAAGCTGTGTACAAGCACACTGCCGGGTTTTATTTATGTGGAATCCAAACAACTGTGACGTTAGGGAGGGAAATGTTCTTTGTCTGAACCTGCTGCTTCAAAAACCACCCAAATAATCTCCTAACACAACTCCAAAATGCTTATATAATTGAATAATCATATCCCCCCATCTGGATGCAAGTGCCAAAACCAGACATGGCCTGTGAGAGTTTGCTTTCCGAGGACATGTGAGGCTTTATTACCTACCAACATATGGACTGTGGTGGCTTTATCGCCCCCTACCGGTGGCACGGGAGAACTGCACCAAATAAATGAATTCAAGAAATGATTTGCGCTCTAATAAGTCCACCATAAATAAATAAATAAATCCAACACTATAGTCTGTTACATTGTATTGTTTTCTTTAAACATGAGTATGATATATTAAAAGCTTAAATATTTATGAAAGCAAACAATAATTAAGTTAAGTTACACAAACAGTTCAGAAATAAACACGATATAGTTAATATAGGTTTTACTGTGCGTTTATTCGGAATGTTAGTAATTATAATCTTAGTTTTCTGTCTAAGAGCAACTTTATCTTTTGTGCTCACTGTTACCAACAATGTGTCGTTTCGCTGAGCGTCTATATTTACTTTCCACCTATAACGATACCACTTTCTCACTTTGTTGTTCGGTTCGAGGTAGAAAACCCAGCGGAGGCTTACCGTAAAGCGTGAGCGGCGTCCTGTCCACGTTTCCGGTCCTGTAAATGATCTTTAAGGGTTAAAACCGGTGGATATTTGGTCTCACATCTCCCACTTTCAGTCTCAACCTCCAGACTGAAGCAACGCGGACCACAGCGATATCCATCCAGCACCTATCTGTGATGACAACACGCACGGGGCAGAGGCTCCGCCCACTCCGACCCAGGAAACAGGCTGCTCTCTCGGTTATTATTACACCTGTTTGCAAGTTGGTAATGACTAAAAGTTATTTCCACTTGAGACTAAATGCGATTTTATGAGTCCGTTATGTCAAAGTAAAGAAGCCCCAGACGTTTACCACCACCAGACTATTTTTGTCTAAGCCCTACAGCGGCACCATCTGGTGAAAAGCAGAAAAGTAGCTTTCCACAAATGAAGATTGCATTCTACTGATCCGTTTTTCTTTTTCCTTTTTTATCGTCTTTTTACAGTAATCTGCGACTGGGATGTTGCTCTCTTCATTTGTTGTTCTTTTACACAAGCACATTCTTAAAACAAGATTGGTTTCCGATTAAAAACCGGAATGTGAATGCACTTCCTGTAAAAAAAAATAGGTAAACGAAAATGATTGTGACAGCTGCTTGTTTCGATTTAAAATTCATATTTTAAAACACATATACTTCAAAATATATTCTGTACCGAAATAAAATGAAGATAACGAAAAGAAATTTATTTCTTTCAAACAAATTTCCCCAGATATCACGGAGCAATTCGTGACGTCAAATGCTCGCGACAGTGGGTTTGTTTCCATGGAGCTTTAGGAAGCTAACGAGGTGAACTCGCGGATTAGCCATGGATATCTTTGTTTTCTCTTTTCTGTGGGGTAAAAAACATCTCTCATGATGTCAGAGCAGTCGCAGACTCTGTTTTTATTCGAGTTTTTGGTGGAATTTATCCGACTTGACAAAAGCTGTAAAGTTTCGTCCGCATTGTCTCTTGGACTGCGACTCCTGGATTTCCCAACGGTGTGTATTAATCAGCATCAGGGCGGTGTTGGCACGAGCCTCTCCGAGCAGAAATATGAAGATAACGTGGTTCAATTCAACTTTAACAGAGGGAAGTCTTGTTTCTTCAAAACGAACTTGGACTCATTGAACATCCAACTATCTGTCACACCTCTGCATGCCATGGTTCTGGATATGATGGAGGACCACCCCAGATTAGTCGGATCCTCGCTGATATCTCTGGTTAAAGCGATGAATAAAATCATGAAGGATGTGACCAAAAGTGGCATTTCTACTCCCTCCTCTCACGAGGAAAGTGGGCTTGCAGCAATATGCAACCTCGTAGGGGAGAGAATTGGAACAATCTCCTTGAGTTATAAACTTGTGTGTCTGGGAGCAAGTTTACTGCCACGCGTCACAGAGAGAAGGGGATATAAAAGCATGCCAGGAGGTCAACAACAGGAACACAACAAAGAGAAGTCTTCACCTTCTGAGCTCGACATCCAAACCAGTGGACGGGCAGACGCAAGAATCTTGTTAGATGAGGATAAGCTGGATGATGGTGCTGTGTGTGACACAGTAAAAAATCAATTTGAGAATGATTTTCAAGAGGATTTAACTATATTCTGTCCCCCTCATCTCTACTACAGCAATGCTTCGCCAGAGACGAGCAACGACAAACAAGAATACAAATTGCCAGATCTAAATCCTGAAGATTTTCTGTTTGAAGATTTTTGCTCTGAGGAAGAAGTGGATAAAAATAAAGATGCAGGACCAAGCTGCAAAAGGGAACATGAGAAAGTGGCATGTGCTCAAAAAACATCAAATAGTCCAGAGACCAGCGGCGTGACCCCAAACATCTTTAGGGATGCCTTGAAACACCTACCCCTGTTAAACGCTCTTGTTACTGAACTGGTACAGCTGGCTGGTGAAACTCATCACCAGTCTGTGACTGTTAATCCCAGTCAGGCTCAGATTTACAAGCCAGCTTCCAGTGAGCCATCAGGACATGAAAACACACATCCGTCTGCACAGTCTCTCCGCAAAACAAGACAGCACACTGGGACCCGTTTAAAACATTTACAGCCCCCCAGAAACTGCTCCACACCCATCGTGAAAGGCAACCAACAAGAAGAGACTTTAACTGGGAAGAATGGCTCCAGCAAATCACACAGGAAGACGCTTGTATACGGAACAACTAAAACATATCATCTAAGGCTGAAGCAAGTATCTCTTGTTAAAGCTAAACCTTGTGAATGTGTGGCGTTGTCTCAGAGGGAGACGCAGGCGAGGGCAGCCAAAGTGAAGACAAAGTCCAGCAGTAAAACTGTAAAGTCCAGCCGAAGAAAGACGGTGTTAAACAAGAGGCCCGGCTCTGATGAGGATATCGAGACAGCAGTGCAACATCTCACAGAGGACGCTGCATTACAATCAACAGTCACGCTCAAACTAAAGGACAATGAACAGGATGGAAAAGTATTTCTCCCTCACAAAGATCTGAAATTAATTCATATTCCCAGCGTGGAGACTGAGAGCATTTCTCAGAGCAAAAACAAGCATCACAGAGAATCAGATCAGTCAGATTCTCAATCTGACAAGGACAAATTCAAACGCCCGGTCCCTACTTCCACAGAGAAACCAAGAAGCCAACACGGCAGCCCAGAGTCTTCGTTTTCAGAGTCCAGTGTTGGTAAAAATGAAAATGCAGACTATGCAGATGACTTTGACAGTCTGGATTCGAGTGATGCTTCTCCTAAACCTGCGAGTAGCCCTGAGTCCACCAGGACCAAGACTCCAAAGTCTCCTGTTTCACCTGACCTCTTCAACTCTGGATCGCGATCTAAAAGTATCCAGCACCGACCAGTCGTCCTCCCGGTGCCCGTCAAAGCCCTCGGGTCGCCGCAGAGGTCTCTGATGCGTACACACACCCTCAAACCTCACACACACTCCTCTGCCTTCTCCTACGATGATGACGATGAAAGGGACAAGCCGGCTTCTTTACAAACGGTCTGTTCCAGAAAACAAACGACTGCTGGAGACAACGTGGAGCAGAGCTCCTTTACTGAGATATTTTCTTCATCAAGATGTGAAAGGATTGCGTCTCCTGGGAATCACTGCAGCGTTCAGGGATTTTCTGTTGAATCCGTATCCTCTTTTGAAGCTCAAGATGCAGAAGAACTGGAAGATGAGCTTGGATCTTTGGATTTCAGAAAGGAATATCAGCATATTTCTGAGCTTGTTGCAACCAAACTCCCTGGGTACACGATGTAAAGAAACCTGTTTCATTTCATTCAAATGTCACAGACTAGTTGAATTTAAATAAAATAAGCTTTTTGTCGAAGTATTGTGAAGGTTTTCTGCCTTTATTAATTATTTATTATCAAGTTACAACAAAATTACAATAAACGTTAAATCACAGATTTACCGAAAACCTCGTGGAAGGCTATGAATTATCTCCATGAACTCGTAATGTGGTTTTAATTGTATTTGTGTTTTCCAGAAATCAGCAGGGTTGGTAAAAACTCCCTTTTCAGCTTTATGGTGAACATCCCGAATGTTTTTGGTGTTGATCTAAATCTAAATGCAAAAATATCAAAACAAGGCCCTCATTTACTGATTTTATATGGAGACTTAATTTATAAACTTGCCCCCGCCCCTTTTTATTTTTCATATTCTAAGATGTACATTTATATTTTTTGTAATTACTGTGGTCTGTTTGTCCGGAAACACTAAAAATGTTGTGGTTTACAAAAGTTTGTTTTATGAGGACCAAGAATAATAATAATATTTCTGCAACAAGCACACATTCTCGTTAAAATAATAAGGTCACTGAGTTGTCTTTATTATGCAAAAATGTCACATTTTATTTAGTTTTCACTGGTGCTAAAGTGGCTTGTATGGAGAATTCGTCCTGCCAAAAAATAAACAAAAAAATTGATAAATAAATTATTTGGGAAATAAAATCTGAAATACACGCATCAACGAATATGATTAAAAATGAATAATTAAATATATTTTGAAATTAATAAGTGAAAATTTTTAGATGTTTTCCTCATTTTTTTCCTTGATCTCAACCATCGACATATATACTTATTTAGTCATTTATAATTTATTTCCTCTTGTGTTTATTTATTTGTTCGTTTATTTTTAATGTTAATTCAACCTTTATGGATCTATTTATTTTTAATGTACTGACAGATTTCCAAATACAGCCTATTTATTTATGTTTACATTTATAATTTTATCATGTGATATGTTTATTCATTTAATTCATTTATGTATTTCCAATTTAAGTTTGTATTTATTTATTTGTTTGTCTATTTATCGTGTTGGCAGGATGAGTCCTCCATAAAGTTTCCTGCAAAAAGTTAATTCGTCTGAGCTTCCGAGTCAAAACATGACTTGTGTCAACTAAATCCCATTATTCTCTTGCGGCCCACACTGCGCATGCGTGAACGATGTGTACGGAAGTGCTGCTCCTGGAGGAGGAGGAGGGTGAACTGAAATGTTTAAACACGTTTTTCTAACGGGACCTCCAGGTAAAATGAGACACCAGCTGTATAAAGTAGAATTCAGTCGCCAAATTTTATTCCTAAATACCGATTTAAGGTTTAAATGTTTACTCCTTGAGTAGCTCCAGCAGCGTTGATGTTGTTCTGATAGAAATATCGTATTTTCAAAATGGCTGTTTGAGTTATTGCAGTTACGGACCCTTCCACACATTGATTAAAAGTGTTGGTTGTAGTAAGTAAGGCAGGTTGATGTCCTGATATTCTGACTGTATTGTTTGGTTCGTAGGTGTGGGGAAAACCACCCTGGTCCGGAACGCTTGTGAAGCTCTGGCGTCATCAGGAGTAGGAGTGGAGGGCTTTTACACGGAGGAGGTCAGGGAGGGAGGCAGGAGGGTCGGCTTTGATGTGGTCACACTCACAGGAGACAGGGGCCACCTGTCCAGAGTCAGGTAGAGATCACACCCTCGCATCCTATCACACTATCTGCTCCCTTTCATCGCTTTGTTGTTGCGACTCGCCTCGTTTTGCCTCGTAGGGACGGTGCTGGTGGCTCTCAGGGCAGACGGGAGTACGCAGTGGGACAGTATGTGGTTGATTTGCCTTCATTTGAGAGTCTGGCTCTGCCTCTCTTCAGAAATGTAAGACGCATGCCTTTAAACCAGCACTCACAGCAGCTCCTTTCCTCCCTGCTTACAGATCATCAAACCTTTGATTGTCTCACAATTGATGGAATAATTGGAAGCTTGCAAACACGTAAATTCCGCGCTGACGTTTTTAGTGCTCACGGTGCCGTCTGGCTGTCTCTGACCGTGATTAATCGTGCATGTAAAGTGAGCTTTGGCTGACGCCTACACATGTAAAGCAGCGAGTCTGCGCCGCGCTTCACTTTCGTCTGGCTTCATGCCCTGCGTGCAGCCGCTGCAGATCACCCGTTCACTCTCAACATTCAGACACTGATAAAGTCAGCTCGTGATGCTGTTGTAATCCATGCAATCTAAACATTAACAGTAATTATTAAAAGAAAAGAAAAGACACAAATATTTGCATGTAAATTCATCCAAAATTAGATGCATGACTTTAGAATATTGATATAATATTGCAGGAGAAAAATCACGATATATTGCCTTATCGATATTTCCTTACATCCACACTGTTTAGGATATGATACAAATTAATACTTTTTTTTTTAATTGTGTCCTGCCTGGCTGTGAAGCAATCACAATTGATGTCTGAATGCGGAAGACAAGCCTAACGGTTGAATGTGAGGGGCCACAGACCTGTCCCGAAAGACGTAGAAGATGGAGGAGTTAAACGTGATTTTTAATTAGAAATTAGGGCCGTGACTCGATTAAAAAATTTAATCTAATTAATTAGAGGCTTTGTAATTAATTAATCTAAATTAATCGCATTTTTAGAGTGTTTCTGTTTTAACTTAAACTTCTGTTTTCACCTTTAAGACACGTTGTTTGTGATTGTTTATAGAGTAGTGAGAACACAGAGCGTTCTCCCAGCGGCAGCCAAGTGCCTCTCGTTTGTCTGACTACTTTCATAAACTACTGTTAGGGCACAGAATTATTCTGTCTGGTGCTTTCAGCGCTGCACAGATGTTACGTAAATGTTAAAAATATAGCTTACCGCAACTTTTGTAAAGTTTCCAGTGCCACCGGGCAGCCGCAGCAGTAACGATCTCTGAAAAATGTCCGCCACACGGACTCCGTTGTTGTCTGGAAGTTTTTTTTTCCAAGTTAAGAAAAGAGGCAGGCGTGTTTCCTAAATCCTGCATCAGTCCAAGCAAGGCAACTTCTTTCTGTTTTTATTCCGTTTTAGTAGCCATTAGCACTGTGCATTGTTGTGTGCGTCAGTGATATTCGGTCTTCGAGGAAATCGTGCGATGACAAAGGTTCCGCCTTGCTTGAAAAGCAAGCTGCGATTAAATGCTTTAATTTTTTTTAACGTGTCATTTTTTCCTAATTAATCATAATTAACGTGTTAAAGTCCCAGCCCTAATAGAAAATTAATCATTTTAGGACACACCTAGACAACAGCTTATTAAACTTAGTCACCCTCTCAATCAGTTATAAGAACGGAAAATGGGCCGACAGCACTGCTATAAACGCAGAGAAGAGTTTCTACGGAAGCCTGGAGGTCCAAATGAAGTTGGTGCACAAAAATGTGATTTTTAGGAGTGTTAGTGTTTGAAAAAAGAAAAAAATCACCACATACAACCACAGAGTATTTGGTGGTCATGATTAATAGATAAAGAAAAAAATTATTTTGATGCCCTTCTTACATCATTAATGTGCTTTGGTCTCATTCTCTCATCTTTACACCAAATTTTGAATTATTTTTTATTTATTAATTTTTTTGTCAGTTTCTATGTTTTTGTTTGATCTTTTTTTAAACTGTTAAACTTTCTGTTCTGTCTTTTAGTGTCACCAAGTTCTAAATGTGTTATTTTTTAATTTTCCTTGCGTGTTCTGTGTCTGCAGCTGGGCTCAGCAGAGAGGGGCAGCAGGAAGGTGTTCGTAATCGATGAGATCGGTAAAATGGAGCTCTTCAGCCAGTCGTTCATCAGAGCGGTGCGACAGACTTTAGACTCTTCTTCATGCGCTGTCCTGGGCACCATCCCCACCCCCAAAGGCAAACCGCTGGGTCTGGTTGAGGAGGTGCGGAGCAGGACAGATGTCAAGGTTTTCACCGTGAGTAAAACTTACTTAGACTCAGACTGAGAGACAACAAGAAAAAAGCTTTTTAGGTCCGTTTTGGGAACCGTTGAGGTTCTTTGTTGATGCCGTGTTCTCTTGCTGTTAGGAGGACAGAAGGGCTGTAGTGTGAATCATCCCCCAGCTATAGCAGGATTAAGCGTGAATCACGCGTGACTGATTCAACAACAAAGGGACGTCACAAGCGTCAAAATAATTTACAACAGAAGACTCGTTTATGGACATTATCATGCAAAACACTGTCCTGCTGGAGACACTGTGTCACATGTGGCTAAGACAGTAAACGCTGTGTCTGGGGAGACGTATTATCATTTTATTATCTGACAGTAGGTCAGAGATTAAAGCCTCTGGGTTAATAATCCTGTGTTCTGATTGGCTTAGACTCTACTGAACACATCTCTTGTTATCTTTTATAATTTCTCTACTTGCTATATTGATTTTTCCTCTCTTGCTTGTTACTTTTCCCTTCTAGGTGTCCAGGGAGAACAGAAACGCTATTCTACAAGACATTTTAACAACTCTTGGGGAATGTTTAAAGCCTTCAACATGAAGGGAATCTCCTGCAGTTGCTTTGTTTTTGTGCTCCGTGTCACCTCACATATCCAAGCTATTTAAAAAATCTGGTGGTTAACAGCGAGGTGGTGACCTAGAGCAGCAAGATGAGAGCCGTCAGAGTGGTTAGTGTGTCACATGCATGTATTTATGTATGCAATATCTTTTTCTTATGGATTTCCTTCTGAGTAAGTAATTGTGAGGTGGAAGGGGAGGGTGCATTGTTCAGCTGAGTTCTCGTTAGTCACCAAGGCCAAAACTGTTTGGCTCCAAAAAGCAGCTGAAGGAGTTCAGTTTTCTTCATTAGACTGGAAAAGTGATGCTTGTTTAAATAAAGAACAAAAAGCACGGCTGAGTCTGACGTTTCCTTTAAATCGTCGACACGAGAGCCTGCTGTGTGTCTTCAGTCCGAGGCGTTGCTCACTGAGAATCAGTCAGTATTTAACAGTGCAGCCATGTCACGGTTTATTCCTCCGCTGGAATGGAAACATGCTTCTTGTCCCATGAGAACGAGCACATCTGCCTGATGATCACGTTTTATCTTTTCAAACGTTTCACTCTGATTCTAATATCTGAAGGTTTTCTCCTCTGTCAACAAGCTTTACGTCACCGGCCACTTTATTACGACCACCTGTCGCTGATCTGTAGGGGGAATGTGGCGAGGTCTGAGTATTTCAGAACCTGCTGATCTACTGGGATTTTTACCCACAACCATCTCTAGCATTTACAGAGAATGGTCTGGATGTAGAACATCTCCGACGAGTAGCAGTTGTGTGAAAAAGAGAATGTTTTGTTGGTGTTGGGCAAACTGGTTCTAGAAAGGCAACGTTAAGTCAAACCACCACTGGTTCCAGCTAAGGTCTGCAGAACCTCACCGGCTGCTCCAGATGGACTCCAGCAGCAGAAGACCGCACCAGGCGTCTCTCTTGTCAGTTAAGTGAAGTCCCACCACTTTGGACCCGTCAGACCCACCTGAGCCTGGTTTAAACACCACCGTCTACCTGAGTATTGTTGCTGACCATCTCCATCCCTTTATGACCACATGGACCCGTCTTCTGGTGCTACTTCCAGCAGGACGATGCACTATATAAGATAATCTCTAACCATGAGTTCACTAGACTCCTCAGTCACCAGATCTCAGTCCGGTCTAGAATCTTTGGGACGTGGTAACGAGAGATTCCCATCATGGAAGGAGGTGATGCTGTCGTGTCAGGATGGACGTTTCTGACACCTTGTTGAATCTATGACACAAAGACTTCTGAAGGCTCCTACTAGCTAGGCCAGGGGTGTCCAATCCTGGTCCTCGAGGGCCGGTATCCAGCACGTTTTCGTTTTAACCTGCTTCAACACTCCTGATTTCAATCAGCAGGTGATTAACAGGCTTCTGCAGAGCCTGATGAGCTGCTGCACAGGTGATTCAACCAGCTAATCAAGCGTGTTGAAGCAGAAAAACCACAAAACCTGCTGGTTACCGGCCCTCCAGGACCAGGATTCGACACCCCTGAGCTAGGCGTACCTAATAAAGTGACCGGTGAGTGTTTATAACTGCAGGGATTTTACTTCCGCCCCCGCTGTGTTCGGATCACACAAAGGAAAACATTTTAAACAGGATCTGTTCCCACAGCTGAGCCTGGGTGAGGCTTTGACACTAGAGAGGAGGACGAGGCTTCAGCTCCATGACTGGTTTGTGAGTCTGATGATGGTTCTGACTTTACAGCACGTGAAACTCCCCCACAGACTCTGAGATTCAAAATCTGGTGTTGAAGTTTTTAACAGAAGCCCTCTAGTGAAGATGTTTGCAGCAAATCATATTCAGGTCACTTCAAAGTGAAAAATAAACCAAAACTCACACATTTGAAGGCTCTTTTGGCATTTTCCCACCGTGCTGCTTGTGTAACTGATGTGACCTGTCAGGCTGGCCGCAGAATAAGCTGCCAGCCACGATCTGCGTCAGGCGTGCTGCTGCGCCAGCATCTGTTCTGCGGCCTGCCTTCGCGCCGCTGGATCAGCTGGCAGCAGCACAAGTTAATACGGGAGGGTTCTTGAACTAACATGGAAATATGAGGTTGCAGAGTTGTTGCAGGCGCAGACATGAAGAGGAAATGAGAGTTGATGGTTGGGGGGGGGGGGGGGGGGCAAGCGGAGCTGCAGAGGGAGAGCTGCGGAAGGTGGTCGTCGGTCACCTGCAGCACGGTAGCAGATGGTTTATGTAACACTGATGGAGACCCTGCCAGCTCTGTCATTTGAAGGCGTGAATGGATGCATCTGATGCATTGTGATGTAATTAGCATCCATTCTGTTTATGTTGTCATGTGCAGATCATTCCCCGTCATCTCCAGACAGCGACGCATCATGAAAGTGACACTAAGCTCACATGTGACGCCTGATGAACGAGTAAATAAGAAACTCTCCAGCTGATCTTTGAGTTTTAGGATTAAACCCTAACCCTAGTATGTGCTTGTATGTGTATATATGTATGTATATAGATCTGTAACTTAATGCTTCTTTCTGTGTAAATTGTTTTCTTTTTCTATTTTTTTCTCAAATTCATGGGTTGAGATTTTGTCGGGCAACAGGTCCAGGAACTATATTGTTCAATTTCCTTAAGAATCATATGATTATTTCATTTGTTTTAATGCTATTTTAGTTAAAAGGGGCAGACAACATAAGTTTTTCTTCTTTCTGTCCCCTTTTTCATTTTGGCTTGCAGCAATTTAGTTCTGATTGTATTTTTATTTTAATGTCAATAAATGAAAATAAAAGATTAAAAAAAAAACAGGAGCAAAAACGTCACGTGGTAAAATACGCCTGAACGCTTAAAACATAAAAATATGCTTCTTAAAATATCTAATGTTATATAATAATCAGTTTTATAACAATATAACAGTAATACCATAAAACTGGTGCATGCAGGTCCTCCACCAGAGGGCAGTAGGCATGCACATGTATGGCAGGTTTCTGATGAAGGCACTAATACTAATATTAGGCACTGATACCTCTTGAACAGATATCCCACCCAAAATTAGAAGCTTGTCTGTTGACATATTTCTCAGAGTTAGATAAGTGGGAAAAGACGATTGTTAACAAGCCCAGTCATTCTCCTGACTCAGGTGTACTCCTTTAGCTTTAGCTTAGCATAAAACACAGTAAGTGAATGGATCCAACCAGGGGCGGATTTAGGACTGAAGAAGATCCGGGGCTTAACACACACGAGCGCGCACGCACACACGTGACACGCACTAGTCAACATCATATATATTTGTCTTGTACCACATAATTTTAATCTGAAGCTACATATGAAGCATATTCAGGGCAGAGTATTGTTCCTGTTAGTGTTTAGTGTGAGATGATAGTAAATATTCCCTTTCTTTCTCCAACAACGTTACCTGATAGTAAGCTAACTTTAGGCAAACCAGCAGCACGACAAACATTTTCAGATAAGACTCACAAACCTGAGTCAGCACCAGTCTCATCAAAGCTGGGGTTCTGTCGTTGTACTTTTGGTCTAAAAACGTCCTTATGTCCATCTTCACTCATGCGTTTCAGGCAGAGAGTGTAGAAGAAGCCGGCTGCTGAAGGGCTTCTTCTTCAGTGGTGGAGGCTCAGGCAGGCTGTATACAAACTACTGCCAGCTGCTCCCTCTCTGTTGGACTTTGGTACTGCATGTTACTTCCACGTTTTAGATCCAGGGCTTTTCATAAAACATCCGGGGCTTCAGCCCAAGTAGCCGGGCCTAACGCCGCCCCTGGATCCAACTAGCATTGTGAGTAAAAACATACGCTCAGTAGTGATCCCAACTCTGCTTGATGACATAAAAATCCAGGAGCCATTTTAGATTTGGGACTCCTTTATGTGGACCACAGCTGTGAGCCTCCGCTGGAAGGTGCAAGGTAGCCTCAAAGACACCGGCTTCCGTACACACAGGCATACATGTTGTTAGTGAACCAGCATTGAACACACACACAATGACAGCGAGAAAATTGTAGTTAATTCTGTTTAATTAAACATATAATGGAAAACAGACATCCTCTGTACAGCTATAGGAACCACCGGGTGACTCAAATCCATCGATGCATTCTAAGCAGGAGTGATGTTGCACGAAAGGTCATGAAGACATCGATTAACTTCATCTTCACACAAGTGAATCGATGTCCATGCTGCAGCAGGAATGCAGTTTCAGGGTCCAGATGTTTACATGGAGCCTTTTATTCATCCGCTCATGAAGGCTATACAGGAACTCAAGGAGCTTATAAAAACAATCCAGGACAAAAGGGGTTTTGCTGGTTGGAGGGAGAGGGCGAGGGTGAGAGTGAGGCATAAGGCGGGGAGAGTTCTCTCAAGTTATTGCTCTTTGTGGTAGCAGCCCAGGAGGCACACAGAACAGCTGCAGACAGGAGGGAGGGGGAGACGGGGGGAGGGAAGCCGTCACCCAAAAGGCCAAACAAGCTGATAAAAATCGGATCTATTGTTACACAACAGCCCCCTGAAGCTGCACAGGAAATTCACTTATCCGAGCATGATTTATTGGACAATGACGAGATAAATAAACCAACATTTTTATTTGCAGTTCCCAAGATTCTCAAGAAACCTGCAGTTGAAGTTTAATGACCTGAAGTTGAATGAGCCCAGGCACATGTCTGAATGCTGCAGAGGCCATTCTGCACCTCAGCGGGCTTTAACTCCCCTCATGCTGGCAGGTGGCACCGAAAAAGCTGTTTGATCCTGCTTCCTAACCGCTATTCCACTTTCCTACTCACCACGGATGCTTCCCGTTATTACTTCACTTTCGTGCTCTCTCCGGGGTTTTCTTGAGGCAAACAGCGTTGGGTTGCAACGCCCACGTACCGACTGCAATTTAACCCTCCATCGCCTGCAGGTTGAACGCTCTGCGGCAAATTAAAAAGAAACTAAAACATCTTTTTGTTTTCTCTATTAAACTCAAATTTTGTCATCAACTGCTCCAAGACACACGATGGTCCTCAAGGTACGCACGGCGCTCTCTCTGCTCCGAGGTATCGATATGTGTCGGCGCCTTTAACGCTCGCCTGGCCATTATTATGGTTGAGCTTCAGCAGAGGTTGGTTCTGCGTGAAACCAGCAAACTTTTTAAGTCTCTCCAACCATCAGTGCCACTGATGATGCCCTGTATGAGCACGCACAGCGACTTGCTGACATGGACGTCATTTTTGCTTTAGAAGTGGGGGGGACACCGGGGGGGGGGGGGGGGGGGGGGGGGATCTTTACAGTATGTTCTAATGGGAAACAGGCTTCAGCACAAACGGTTGTTTTCTGCTTGGTCCTAGAGCTCAACCAGTGTCAGTTTAATATAGCGTAATATTGTTTTTGGA